CCCAAGGGCTATCATTGCTTCTCAACGGGAGACCAAGGTATCAGGTGTGAGACAACCGGAGGAGCAGAGAAGAAATCAACAGAAACCAGGCAAGACAATTTGAGAGACATAAGTGGGGAAAGATGAAAGGGGAAATGGGAGATGAGTGTCACTTCTGGGGTGTGGGGTTTCAGTTTCAGCAATGCTTTCAACCTGTAAACCAGTCCTAAATAAATGAATTTCCTTTTGCATCTACAGTGGTGTAAATGGAAGTTGCTTTCATTAGGAACTGTGCATTGCTGGTCCTTACACACCCAATTTATATGGGGAGGCTGCAAAGTAGTCATTATTCTATTCCTCATATTGCTGCGAGGAAACAAAGACACAAAACTCTTTCAGTGAGGACACATCATGGGCCCTTGACCCCCATTCCCGAAACAGTAGAAAACCGTGGTGACAGGAAACGGGCTACCTTTGTGGGTGACCCTACTCCAGCCTGAGTTGGCTATATTTGAAATCCCTGCTGGTCATTCCATTTCTTTCCAAGTTGACCTTTCTGCACTAATGACTTAGAGCATCTTCACAGCATTATCCAGCCATCATGGACATGATATGAAGCCTATCTGTGTTACTATTATTTTGGCAAAACAAAGGTTGGATGACCAATTGATTGATTGATTGATTAGGTGACAAGTCAGTGTTGACTACTAGCAACTACATAGATAGACTTCCTCCAGGATGATCTGTCTCCAGCCTGGTTCTTCAGATCTTCCAGCAGTGCACCCATCATCATTGCAGTTGTCCATCCCCTTACTGTTGGTCGTCCTCCTCTTCTCTTTCCTTCCACGTTTCCGAGGATCAGAGCCTTCTCCAGAGAGCTGGGTCTGCACGTAATGTGTCCACAGTAGGATAATTTGAGCCTGGTCATTTGTGCCTTGAGTGAGAACTCTGGGTTGAGTTGTATAAAGTGCTGTAAACTGCTAGGATGAAAATGATCACATCATTTCACATCTCACAGAGGCATCCAGAGTGTGTGTCTCAAAGAAGTCAAGATGGTGCCAGTGGCCAAAGCCTTGCTCCATTTTTTACACACCTCATAATATAATACATACATACACAATTGTATTATTTGCATGACTATGTTGTGGTGTGTGTGACATCATGCAAATAATACAACTTGACATCATTGTGGCTTCTAACCTGCTTGTTCATGGAGACAGAGTAGAAAAATGGGGCTGTGGGCATGGTTAGGTACAAGACGGGAAAGGCCCAGAGGGAACCATGTTTGAACTGAAGTTTTCTTGATTGCATAGCTCAGTCACCAGGGCCATCTGCAAGGAGGTCAAAAATGTCAAGATGGTGGCTGCTCACTGACACCATCTTGACTTTTCTGACCCCACTCTCAGAGACACTGCTGTCACCAATTCAACTGTTTTGGTCTCCCCAGATCCTCAAGCACATTCTTCACCGGGAGATCAAGGACCCCAAGTTCCAGCACCTTTCACGCAAGTTCACCGAATGGACCTATGGTCCAATCCACATCTCCCTCTATGATCTGACCTCCATCGACAGCTGCGAGGAGAACTCAGTGCTGGAGATCCTGGCTTACAGCAGCGACACCCCAGTGAGTGAGTCCAGTCAAGAATTGTCCTTCTCGGGGTCTTCCCTTCCCTGTGATTACTTCTTAGCCAGCATCATTCAGCACCATCTTTATTTCTTCTTGGCACTGGGCAAAACCCTTTCTGAAAAAGTTGGATCAGGATTTTTTTTTTAGAATCTGATTTATTTATAAGTTGCCTTAGTCTTTTCATTTTCTTTAACCCACTTTGAGAATAAAGAACAAGGTTATCTTCATCCCCTTTCTAAATGTGGGCATTTAGATAAATGCAATGTTTTCCTCATACAGGTAGTCCTCATTTAACAACCATTCATTTAGTGATCATTCAAAGTTACAGCAGTGCTGAACAAAGGGACTTACAACCAGTCCTCACACTTACAACTGTTGCAATACCCCCATGGTCACATGATCATGATCTGGGCACTTGGCAACCAGCTCGCACTTATGATGGTTGCATTGTCCTGGGGTCACATGATCGCCTTTTGTAACCTTCCCAGCCAGCTTCTGGTAAGCAAAATCAATGGGGAACCGTGTGATTTGCTTAACGGCCATGCTGATTTGCTTAATGACCATTGCAAAAAAGGTCGTAAAATTGGGTGCCACTCACTTAACAACCACCCTGCTTAACAACAAATTTTCCAGTCCTTATTATGGTCATTAAGCAAGGACTATCTGTACTGGTCTGGCTGGAAATTAAGGGAGTTATGTCTAGAGCAGAGGTTCCCAAACTCTTCAGCACATCGACCCCTTCATGAAGTTTCAGATGGTTCATCAACCCCCAAACACTAATTATGTGAAACTAATTTAATAAATACTATTTTAACTAATAGTACTATGAACAATAAGAATAAGAATAACAACAACATTGGATAATCCCATCAACCCTTGGGGTTCAGTGTTGACTTTGGAGAACCCTGGCCTAGAGGTTTGATGACTACTAACTGAGAACTTGTGTTTTGAATCCCCCTTCCTTGCTTTTCCTCAGAACCGGTACAAAATGGTGGACCTGGAGCCTCTGAACAAGCTACTTCAGCACAAGTGGGAGTCCTTCATTGCAAAAAGATTTTTCTTCAATTTATTCATATACCTGAGTTTCATGATGATCTTCACAGCCACTGCTTGCTACCAGTCCCTAGAGGAAGAGGTAACTATTCTTTAAACAAATGGATCCCTTTGTGAAAGAAAATGTGGTGACTTTGAGTTAGACCCTTTCTGTCAGCTCAGCCTACCTCACAGGGTTGATCTGGTGAAAAAAATGGAGAGGGGAGTGCTGTTGAACTCTGGGAGAAAAGCGGGATATAGAACTTAAACTAAATAATAATGGTATCAATCCAAAAAAGAATATGTTTCCAAAGGGTGATGAAGTCACATTCATGGATTTTATTTAAAGAACATGTTTGGGAGCCCTTGGATAGGCATGCTACGATTCACAGGAGCCAGTATGGCTTTGCTATTAAGAAATCATGCAAGACTAATTTCAACTCCTTTGGTAGAATTGTTAGGTTAGTAGATAAGGGGAATGCCATAGACATAATATACCTGGACCTCAGCAAAGCCTCCAACACATTGTCTCATGATAATCTCTTCCATAAAATTATAAAATATGGACCAGATCATACCACTGTTACATGGATTCACAGTGGGGTCCATGATTACACCCAAGGGTGGGGGGAGTCACTAATAGCTCCAGCTAAGAGGGCAGTATTGAGAGGAGGACCTCTGTCCTGGGCCCTGTGCTGTTCAACATTTGCATCAATGACTTGGGTGGCTGTGTGGAGGGGGTACTTTATCTGTTTGTACGTGACACAAAGCTGGGAAGGATGCTGATCTAGACACTTACTTTAGCAGTGGGCTGAAAGATCTAGACAGATTCGAGCAGTGGGCTGAAATGAAATAGGATGGAATTGAGGAGGGAGAAATGTCAAGTTCGGTATCTGGGCAGGAGAAATGGAAAGAACAAATATAGGATTTGGGAGACCTGACTTAGCAG